TACGGATTTCAATGAATTGTTGTGATCATGGCAAAGTCGTAGGGAGTCATCGTCATCTCTCCCGCGACAGACAAGTGGAAAGAGTTGGTGGTGTCCCACCACCTCTCCGCCAAAGCGGCAAGAAGAGGTCTGCATGTGGACAACCTAGAGAGCCCTCGGCAAAAGGTGCTGATGCCCGCCCGGTCCACGATGCGCTGGACCGCATCAGGGAGCTCATCATACCACTCCCGCGCACCAGTATTCCCATACCCGCGAATGGTATGGGAACCCTCCTGCCAACAGAAAACAACAATTGCAAGACAACATTCAAAATGCAGTTTTGAAAGGACAGCTATAGCATGTGTGCAAGTTTGACGAGTTTCAGGCAATTACCGGGTGCCAGTGTGCTTGCAGTGAAATACGTGTGCTGTGTCAGCATGTTCGAGTGTTTCAGAACAGATATAGCATTGTGTGCAAATCTAACAGATTCAGACAAATACTGGGTGCCAGTGTGTATGCAGTAGAATACAGTGAGTGCAGTGTGTTTGAGTGATTCGGGGCTAATGCAGTGCGTGTGCATGTGTCAGTCTCAAGCAGATATCAGTTGTATGTATGTTTACAGTCAACTATGGTCTACGGCATATCAGATTTCAGCAGTTAAGAGAATACAACTAACTATGGCAGTTTTGTATCCTACATTGCAGAAAGTAAAAAGAAGAGAGTTACCTCGGAAGTGCCGACTGAAAGGTGGGAGGTAGGCTCGCGTAGTAGTAGCTCAGGGGCCGCGTACCTCTCAAAGCTCCGGAACTGACGCAGGCCGTCTGGGGGCAGAACGTGGATCCCCGGCCGGTAGGTCACCGGATCGAACGGGCGCTCGCTCAGTGGTAAGGGCTCGACCCCGGGATCCATCTCGTGGTCCGGGGGAGTTCCGCCACGTGGAATGTCGTCCGCCATGTAGAGAGTGGTGTGAAAATGGCCGGAAAAGGGAAAATCGAGCCGGAATGCGAAGAGTCAACTGAAAAGTCAACTCCCAAGAGGGTCGAAAATGGCCGGGAAACCGGGCCGGAATACGAAGAGTCAACCAGAAAGTCAACTCCTGAGAGGGTCGGAAATGGCCGGAAAGGCCGAAATGTGAAAAGGCACATGAATGAAGAGGAAAGTGAGGGGAACAAACCCCGAAAAGGCGAGAACGCCGAACGAGGCACCGAAACGAAAATGGGATCGGTGGAAAATGTCCGAAACGCGAAGGGAATCGCGAATCCGGCGACGAAACGGGCGTAGAACGCAAAGAAACGGGCGAGAAATGCGAGGAAAACGCTCTAGAGAGAGAAAGGAAGAGATTTCGGCGGTGGAGAAGTGAGGGTTAGGGTTTAGAAACCCTATTTTATAACACCCAAGGTGAAAAGTCAAAACTGCCCCGCATCAGCAACTGTTTGCCGGTCGGCAGTGTTTTGTGCCGGCCGGCACCTTTTTGTGCCGATAGAATTGTTTTTATGCCGGTGGCCTCCCCTTTCGGCCGGTGGGGTTCCCACAGCCTTGTTCAGGCCATTTGAGTTGTTTTAGGTCTTCATGGCTCAAGAAAGTGCAAGAAAGTGCATCTCCGACGCTCAACCGGCCTCTGTTCTGACCGCGGGCCGTGTCTCCAGTGCGTGGCACTCGAACCGCATGTTAATTCTTTATTTGCGTAGACCGCATGACAATTCTTTACTTGCGTAGACCGCATGTTAATTCTTTATTTGCGTAGACCGCATGACAATTCTTTACTTGCGTAGACCGCATGTTAATTCTTTATTTGCGTAGACCGCATGACAATTCTTTACTTGCGTAGACCGCATGTTAATTCTTTATTTGCGTAGACCGCATGACAATTCTTTACTTGCGTAGACCGCATGTTAATTCTTTATTTGCGTAGACCGCATGACAATTCTTTACTTGCGTAGACCGCATGTTAATTCTTTATTTGCGTAGACCGCATGACAATTCTTTACTTGCGTAGACCGCATGTTAATTCTTTATTTGCGTAGACCGCATGACAATTCTTTACTTGCGTAGACCGCATGTTAATTCTTTATTTGCGTAGACCGCATGACAATTCTTTACTTGCGTAGACCGCATGTTAATTCTTTATTTGCGTAGACCGCATGACAATTCTTTACTTGCGTAGACCGCATGTTAATTCTTTATTTGCGTAGACCGCATGACAATTCTTTACTTGCGTAGACCGCATGTTAATTCTTTATTTGCGTAGACCGCATGACAATTCTTTACTTGCGTAGACCCCATGACCATTCTTTATTTGCGTAGACCGCATCTCAATTCTTTACTTGCGTAGACCGCATGTTAATTCTTTATTTGCGTAGACCGCATGTTAATTCTTTATTTGCGTAGACCGCATGACCATTCTTTATTTGCATAGACCGCATCTCAATTCTTTACTTGCGTAGACCGCATGTTAATTCTTTATTTGCGTAGACCGCATGTTAATTCTTTATTTGCGTAGACCGCATGTTAATTCTTTACCTGCGTAGACCGCATATCATTTCTTTATTTGCGTAGACCGCATGACAATTCTTTACTTGCGTAGACCGCATGTTAATTCTTTATTTGCGTAGACCGCATGTTAATTCTTTACCTGCGTAGACCGCATATCATTTCTTTATTTGCGTAGACCGCATGTTCATTCTTTACTTGCGTAGACCGCATCTCAATTCTTTACTTGCGTAGACCGCATGTTTGTAATCATTTCTTTCCCTGCGTAGACCGCATGCTCAATTTCATTACTTGCGTAGACCGCATATTTTGATTGCGTAGACCGCATGTTTAATTTCATTACCTGCGTAGACCGCACGTTTTGATTGCATAGACCGCATGTTTAATTTCATTACCTGCGTAGACCGCATGTTTTGATTGCATAGACCGCATGTTTAATTTCATTACCTGCGTAGACCGCATGTTTTGATTGCGTAGACCGCATGTTTAATTTCTTTACTTGCGTAGACCGCATGTCTCGATTGCGTAGATCGCATGTTAAATTTCATTACTTGCGTAGACCGCATGTTTTGATTGCGTAGACCGCATGTTTCAATTGCGTAGATCGCATGTTTAATTTCATTACCTGCATAGACCGCATGTTTTGATTGCGTAGACCGCATGTTTAATTTC